GGACACAAGTGTTTGTGTGTCAATGACTGCAGAAGGTGGCGGGGCATGCTGGGGGGGTTGCGCTCCCCCCTCTCAGCGGCCAAGATGGCAGAACCAGGCTAATGTCTGCGCTGCATTTCGGGGCAGACCCGAAGGCCTGGTCGCCTGAAGCTCAGTTCTTTTTTTTTTTTTTAATTTCCCCTTAGAAAAAATTACTTGAGTAATTTATTAGTCACAACTTAACTGATTTTTTTTTGTAGACTTACAAATTTTTGTGCTTGGGTTTCAATTATACAATGATCAAATACCCATCCCTCCACCAGTGTCCATTTCCCACCACCACGGATCCCAGTATCCCTCCCGCCCCCCATCCCCCCATCCCCCCCTGCCTCTGTGGCAGAGCATTCCCCTTTGTTCTCTCTCTCCTTTTGGGTGCTGTGGTTTGCAAAAGAGGCATTGAGTGGCAGTCATGTTTGGTCTATAGTCTACTTTCAGCATGCTTCTCCCAACAGCCTTTATTTGGTGCTCCCTTCTCTATCTGAGCTCCCTTTTCCCCTAGCATGAAATTGAGCTCCCATTTGTCCCAGCAATACCACTCTTGGGAATATATCCCAGAGACGCAAAAAAGTATAGTTGAAGTGACATCTGCAATTGTTTGTTCATTGCAGCACTCTTTACAATAGCCAGAATCTGGAAAAAACCTGAGTGCCCGAGAACAGATGACTGGTTAAAAAAACTCTGGTACATTTACACAATGGAGTACTATGTAGCTGTTAGAAAAATTTACATACAAGTGGTACTACATGTATCATGTTAAGCGAAATGACTCAGAAAGAAAGGGATAGACATAGAAAGATTGCATTAATCTGGGGAACCTAAAGTAACAAAATAGGAGACTAACACCCAAGAATGGCCAAGATTAGTACCTGAAGCTCAGTTCTTAGCTGAGTCTGGGCTCCCCAGGAACTGGCACCCAACACCGCGGAGGAAGGGCAGAAGGGGAGCCAGGTGCGAGAGCAGGCACAGGACAGTGTGGGTGTGGTGAGGGGCTGCCTCCTGCAATGCCCCGGGGGGAGCTGGGGGTTGCCCACACCGTGCCCCCCAATCCCCGGGCTGAGTGCACTGTATGTCTCGAACTGGAACCCCTGGCCATCCTTGAGGTGCCCGCGGTGGGGGGGGGGGGCAGGATAGTCCTGAAGCCACCATGGGTGTCTCTGCCAGCAGTTCCGCCTTTTGGAATATGCATGTGGTACAGCCACAGCCCAGGGTTCGAGGGCCGCCCATTCTCTGGGTGCATTGAATGGGTGAGGAGCACAGGGCTGGCGTCTGGTGTAGGGCAGCCCTGCGCTCAGCCAGTGCATGCTGGGCTCGGAGGGCGAGTGCTTTGTCCCTTCCCATATGCCCTCTTGTGGCACTGTGCCACAGACAGTGAGTTGAGCCCCGGGGTGCACTGCAGGGATAGGCTCAGAGCTGCTGTCCAGGCGGGACAGGCCAGTCCCTGTGCTTCGCGGGAGGGGAGGCCAAAGAGCTCGGCCCCCACCCCTATTTTTACCAGAGGCCAGAGCCTTGGCTTGCTTGGGCACTGACAGGCCCTCCTGCCACTGGCCCTGGGCTCGAGGCAGCATGGACCCCAACAGTGACCAAGGGGCCTTCCAGCCATGGGTTCCGGGGACAGTCAAACCAGGGCATGGCTAAAAGGGACCCCAGTGCACCCAGAAGCCAGAAGGCCAGGCCACGGGGTACAGACACCGAGCAGTGAGGCGCCGCCTGCACCTCCCCTTGGCGTGGGACCCACCTGCACCCCAACCTTAGGTGTGTCCTGGGCACCTGCTCTGGTGAAGCCCATGTTCTGTTTTCTCCCCCAGCCCCATATCTGAGTGAAACTCTTAACTGATTGTCTCCGTAATTCCTTCCTGTACAGGAACACCTGCAGTGTGACCCTGAGTTGCTGTGGGTGACCTGCCCAGTCCTGAGAGGCTCTTAGCCCTGATCTCCCCACCTCATCCAAGAGGGCCAGAATCAGGTGACCTGTGACATCATGCCAAAGCCAGCCAGACCTTCCCTTGGACCACGGGTACATTTGGACAGTCAACGGGGCCCTTTGAAGTGTGCCCCCCGCCCCCCTGCCTGGGGTGGTAACGTCCCTCTGAACGCGCCTGCGTGGGAGGCAGGAGCCAGGAGGAGCCTAATGAGGACAGGACGCGGCCCCCGGAGCTTTCATCTGGCCTCCCGCCCTGCTGCCCCAGGAGCCGCCCGCCACAGGGCGAGGCACAGGCCTGAGTTCTGGCCTCCGGGCACAGGCTCAGAGTCAAAGGTATCCCCTGGGAGCACCGGTGGGCCGAGCTGGGGCTGGCAAGGCACTTCAAAGACACCGATGTGCCTGGGGGACCCTGCCCCGGCCTGGCCTGACTCAGCAGGATGCTTCCTTCAAAAGCAGGAGCTGCTCCCAGAGGCTTGAACTGGACCAGGACGGGGGGAGGGGAGGAGGTGGAGGGGATAAGCTGGGGAGGGCTAAAGCACCTGCCAGCACGAGGCTGTGCACTGGCGGGTGGCCCCTGGCCGCTGGGCCCTCTGGGATCCCACAAGTGCTCTGTGACAGTGCCGTGGCAGGTGTGGCCCACCAGCAGGAAGGGCGACCCTGGCGAGCAGGTGGCCAGGCGAGTGAGTGGTTGTGACAGCTGCAGCAGTGGGGGGTCTGTAAGAGAACGACTGAGGGGCCTTCCCAAGGCTGCAGCCAGCACCGCCTGGCTCCCAGCCAGGCTCAGGTGGGCCAGAGGATGTGTGCCCATACACGTGATACGAGCGGCACCGTGGTGTATGTGTGACAAGTGTACATGTGTGAAGTATGTGGTGTAATGAGTCTGATGTATGTATGTGGTATGCAGGGGCAGTGTCTGCAGTATCTGTAGCATGTACGAAGTGTGTGTGTGTGTGTGGGGGGGGGGTACGTGTCTATGACTGTCTGCCTATGTGTATGGTGTGAAACGTGTCCATGATTGTGCATGTGTGTGGTTATGTAGCGGTGTGTGGTATAAGTATGTAGTGAGTGTGCGTATACATGGCAAGTCTATGGTGTGTGTGCTTATGTGTGGTGAGTCTATGGGGTGTGTGTATGTGGTGAGCCTGTGGTGTGCGGTGAGTCTATGGTGCTGGTGGTGAGTCTGTGCGGTGTGTGCCTGTATGTAGCAAGTCTATGGTGGGTGTTTGTATGTGATGAGTCTATGGGGTATGTGTATGTGGTGAGTCTGGTGTGTGTGTGTGTTGTGAGTCTGTGGTGTGTGTGCGTGGGGGGGTGAGTCTGTGGTGTGTGTGCATGCATGTGTGTGGTGAGGCGAGTCTTTGGTGTGTGTGAGCTTGTGCAAGTGATGCCCTCTTCAGAGACATAGCTGCCATTTCCTGCTTCACTGGGTGAGGAGTGCCTGAGCGCCCTCCCCCACCAGACATTCACCCATCCTTAATGTCCGGTGTGGGGTCCCATGTGGGCCAGCGTGAGCCCTGTTTCTGTCTTTGTCCCTGTGCTCGCCCAGTGGCCCTGCCGTTGCCGTGAGCATGGGTGCCTTTCTCTAAGCCCCCAGGTGGGAGGGGCCCACCCGGCTCCTGCATTCCCCATAATCAGATCCACACACATACTGGCAGGCATCTGAGGCCTGCAGAAGCTTCCAGATTCCAGAGGTGGTACTAGAGCACCTTGCAGGGCCATCGGGGATGCTGAGGCAGCACCTCCCATGAAGCTGGGACACTCAGTCAGAGCCCTTCTCCCTAACAGCTGGTTCTCTGCAGCCTCTCACGCTGGAACAGCCAGGACGGTCTCTGTCTCCCCCTGCTGGTGAGCTCAGAGTAAGACCCGGTCCCCAGGAAGGTTCCGGATGGTCCTTCTGCAGGCCCTGCCCATCAGGAGAGTGTGACTGCCCTCAGCACTGCCCTGCCAGAATTCTGGAGCTGCCTTTTGACTTGGGGACTCTGGCTTCAGCAGAAACCTGCTAAATTCCCTTCTGATGGGCCAAGGGACAGCTGTCAGTGGTCATCCAGTCCCCTGGGTCCAGGACTAAAACAAGGCTGGGCCAGCTTCACCTCTACAGGATGAAGGGGACGGCTCCCAGCTCTCCTCTGGTCTGGAGGCCCAGAAGCAGCTGTGGCGAGTGGCTCGCTTCCTGCCCAGGGCAGCCCTTGTGGGTTTAGCACACTCCACCCCTGAACAAGGCCCTCACCGGGGCCTGCAGAACAGGGGTAACGAGCCAAGGGGAGCCCAGCCATGTGGCACTGGTACCAATGCAGCCATGGCAAGCCCAGGCCCCCAACATTGGCCAGCAGAAAAGAAAACCAGGGCGATGGCCAGGCCAGGATGGGCTTAGCGACCACGGCAAGGGCCCACTTGCAGAGCAGTGGGGCACCAGCCACAGCCTTGACCCGCCCTGCAGTACGCCAATGGGAGTGACTCGGGGCAAAGCTGGAAGTGACCCTGAGCACCCCTGTGTAGCCCAAACAAACAAATACAAATCCCAAAGACCACACCAGCCGAAGTCTCTCCTAAAAGCTGAGCTCAGTGGTAAGGTGGACATGTAAGTTCTTGGGTGCCGTGGGCGAAGGCAGGCTCAGTCTCCCTCAGCTGGGAAAGCATCTCTGCTCCCAAACCCTTGTTCAAAGGCAGCCCAAACCACAGCCGAGCCTCAGGAAAGCCTAGCTCTGCAGACTACGCACTGCCATACACAAACTCGTTTCCAGAGGTATATGTCCTGCTGGGTTGACGGGGCCTAGCTCCCCTGGGCTCTGCCTCTGCAGTGTCAGTCTGCAAACTCTCGCTTAAGAGAAAGTGGCTGCCAAGTGGCCAGGGGGCCCCCAGGAAGGGGTGAGATGCTTTCCGGGCGTGTGGAAAGAGAGCGTGAACTGGGGATTCCACGCTCCCTTGGGCATACACGCATCACAGTGAACGGGGTCTCTACATACAGCAGGGGCCCGAGACCGAGCAGGCCGGCGGTATGTGAACTGCTCAAACACCAACAAAGACCCTGACAGGTGGTTACTCAGATCACGACACAAGTTTATTACAAGCAGATTCCCTTTCCACACTCGAAACAAAACATGACACTCCCATAAACAGCAATAAAGGAAAAATGCATCACGGGACTTGAAACCCAGGACAGTCTACTCAGTCTAGACGAGGGAGACACTGATCCAAACCAGGTCAGAGCAGTCACCCCAGTTTACAGCCTCTGATGGAGCACATGGGACTGCGCTATCTCCATGAACTTTTAGAGTACGTAGAACTGCACTATTTAACGTACTTTTCCATGAACTTTTGGAGCACATGGGACTGTATTATTTAATGTACTTCTCCATGAATTTTTTGTGGAACTCAGAGCGCAACGTGTCATTGACAAACCTTTTGTCTTTCTTCTGGTCATCCACGCCCTTTGCACAGTTCTTGAAAACCACGTCATCGTCCCACCTGTGGGAGACAGAACATACGTCATGTTTGCTTCTGGCAACAGGAACTCCAGCAGAGCTCAGCTGCTGTGGGCAGGCAGGAGCCTGGGACAGTTCTGCAGCCTAGTGGGATGGGCCCGTCCTACTCAGGAGAGTCTCCTGCCCGTGGCTGGGAGCGCGGGCCCCAGGGCTCTCCTCGCCACCCATAGGTCCACTGCTCTGGCCTGCAGCCTGCACTCTGCTCGGTGCTCAGTGCCGGGCACCAGGTCCGGACTGTTACTCGACCGTCCTCCCTGTCCTGCTTTGGCTCTGGGTGGAAGGACACAGGTACGGGTATAGTCCGGGTGGTTCTCGGGGAAGGCAGGCCATGGGGTCTGGGAGGCTATTTACTGCCAAGTCAGCAGGCAAATAAGGCGGGATTTCCCAAGTCTCCAAGACACTGTGGATTAGAGGTCTCATCTCAACAAGGGGCTGAAATGCCTTTGCAGGCTCCCAGGTGACAGGCCCAGCCTAGGAGAGCTGCAGCCCCAGTAGCTGCAGTCTGGCAGAGCGGCAGCATCACATCCAGTGGTCTCAGGGTTACCTCCACCATCACCAGGACCAGGCTGGGAAAGAGTAATGATCAGCTCACTGTCTGGGGGTCAGTCTCTGGGCCTGGCAGTTCAAGGTCATAAGGAAGGACCTGGGTGTGAGTCACAACCCCCTTCAGGGCAGTGGGAGTCCCAGCTTTTCTCTCCCTCTGGGTCCCCTGGGAAGGGCTCTTAAGGTCAGGGTGACCAGGACATAGGTTGGCTTCTCCAAGCGCCTACTCTGGCCTCCCTTTCTTTCCACACACTCTCCCACATGAAGGGTGCTCCCGGTCTTGTGCTCTTCTCTCAAGGTCACAGTAGATGAGGACTGTGAGGTGGAATAAGAGGAAGGTGGCAAAAAGGAGAAGTGAGTGCGGCCTCCCAGGCTGCTTTATCAGGGAGGGGGTCTGAGGTGCTGTGGGAGATGGTGGGAAGGAGGCTCCGATCCCCTGAGGAGTCTGGGTCTCCGTCAGAGGGAGACGTGCCCCTCCCCGCCCCACCTAACCCCACCTGCTGTTGCTGGCCTCTGCGCTCCATCTGGCACACAGCTGAAGAGACGTGAAAGTGTACTGTTTTCTCCTTCCCTTGCCATTACTCTACAAGTGAAGACCAGCAGTGGCAGTTGGAGCGTAAAAGGTCCAGCCCGCTGCTGTCTAGTACCTTCTTTTAACCTTGAAGTTAGCCTGAGGCTGGGATGGGCCAGTGAGATTGAGGAGCGGGTTGCCGCTGAGAATATTTTCCATACGAATCCTTTCTTCCTCAGCCTTCTGTTCTTGCTCCTGTCAGTGACAAGGAAGATTCACGTTAATTCCATAGCTAATTTCATCTCTCTTGGCTTTTGGGCCACACCTGGTGGTGCTCAGGGATCACTCCTGGCAGGCTCAGGGGATCAGAAGGGATACTAGTGATGGAACCTGGGTCAGCCGTATGCAAGGCAAATGCCCCTCCTGTACGATGTTCTGCAGGTGCGGAATACCAATCACATACAATGGAACTAACAATTTTTAAATTTTGATTCTGGGTCATACCCAGAGGTGCTCAGGGTTTACGCCTGGCTCTGCACTCAGAGATCACTCCTGGCAGGCTCATGGGACCATCTGGGGTGTCAGGGATTGAGCCCAAGTGCAAGGAAAGCGCCTCACCTGCTGTACTATCACTCCGATCCCAGAAATAGTTTTAGACACACACTCCTTAGTGTGCGGTGTGCAGATGAAGTTGCCCTAATAAGCAGATCTGCACAGCGGCAGTATGGCTCACTAGCCTGACGCCCAGCAACCAGCCCTTTGAGGGCTCCCAGTCACGACAGACTGGCTTGGAAGAGGGTTTGGGCACTTGCCAGACAGGAAATAGGGACAAAAGAAACGGCCATTCAACCCCAAGTACTATCAATACATTTTTGTACCGAGAGAGAGAGAGAGAGAGAGAGAGAGAGACAGACAGACAGACAGACAGACAGACCTGAGAGAGAGACAAAATCATAAACACATCTATATAAAGTGCTTATCTTCAATAAGGCTAGTCAGGAGCACTTAAAATACCTGTTTCTTGTAAAGAAAGCAAGCTTGAAGACTCATAATCTTCGTGATTACTTACAATTTTTAATCAGTTTAAAGTTTTCACATAAAACTTTATGTATGGATGCAGATGCCAGATTCATTACGGAAATCATCTTGGAATATAATGCATATGGAATCTTGTCGCACACCTGGAACTTGCATATTATAGGTTAGATGCACCTAACCAAAGAATACCAGTAAGGTGGGCGTGGAGCACAGCTGTGCAGGGCCAGCCTCACTTATGTGCAATCAAAGGATTGATTCCCAGTGCTGCAAAAACACCAGTATTTTTGGTATCCTAAGTGTTTCTAGGATCTGTGAGAAGGACAGAAGCACGGAACCTCAGCATCCAGCCTACCTTCCTGGCCTGCTCCTCAGCTCTTTCCTTCTTGATCTTCTCCAGCTCTGCAAGGAGAGCTGCTGTGTCATCATCATCACTCTCCTCTTCAAAATCTTCATCTTCATCTTCTTCCTTAAAGAAAAAAAGAGATGACAGAGTCTAACAGAGAAATGCAGTGATTTTTCTCATAAAAATTGCAGTTTCTGGGGTCAGAGAGACAGTACAGAGGGTGAGGCCCTTCCTGTGCACACAGCCACCCAGGGTTTGATCTCTGCCATCCCACCTGGTCCCCTGAGCCTGCCAGAAGTGAACCCTTGGTGTGGCCTCAAAATGAAACAACAAAAATTACAGTTACCAACCCACTGGAGCTATCTGATTTTCCTAATATGATTAAAATTAAACAACCAGGGGACAAACCAGTGGTTCAGCAGGTAAGAACCTGCACAGGGCCAACCCAAGTTTGACTCCCAGTACCAGTAAGTTCCCCCAAGCCCCATGAGGAGTGGCCCCTAAATGGAGAGCTAGGGCCCTCAAAACAGAAAAAAAATCTTTGGGAATGGAGCAATAATCCAGAGCAACAGTCCTGGATTCCATCCCATATAGTAACCCAAGCCCTACCAGGAGTGATCCTGAACACATACCTGAGAGTAAGTCCTGCCTACATCCCACCCCCAAAATCAAAGACCTAAAAAAGGGAAATGCCACAAAAAAACACAATTCTGAAATAGCAACCAGATGCGTTTTTAAGATTAGAATAGTATCCACCACAAAATAGCTTTTAAATGTACGTGCTCTACAGCAAGTTGAGCATGGAAATATTCCCCAAACAAGGCAAGGAATGAACGTGACAATGACAATATGGTATAGAATTGTATAGTTTATCAATTGGAATCAAGACAATCCTAAGTGCATCCTATCAACTTTATGCTCGGATAACCAAAGGTACAAAGGAGAGTCTAACTTCTCAGGAGAAAACGACTTCAGGTAACCGTTCACTCCCACTCAGTACGCCATCTGCTCATCAAACTCACTCCAACATGAGCCTGGGGGGCAGCTGGCGCCAACACGTTCAACTGGGTTTCTTCTAACTGGATTATTCACTGTAATTATTGGCTCTGGCACAAAACGGTAGCATTGTGTTTAATTAGATGCCAGCCATGAGAGGTCACTCAGGTTTTTAACTGGGTATAAAAGATCAAATAGACAGTGGGGTCTCACAGGGTGAGCATGAGTGCTGACCCTAATCGCCTCCCCTTTGCATTGAGGAAGCAGCAGCGTGTGTTGGGGGCCCACCCCACACCTCCGACCAAGAGCACCTGCTGCAGGGGCGCACCGTGACCCCTCAAGGCTGAGACGTGACCATGGGAAGATCGCCTGGAATACAGATCACTCCTCTTTTTGGTTTGTTTCTGGGACATATCCAGGAATGTTCAGGGGTTACTCTGGGCTCTGCACTCAGGAATGACTCCTGGTGGGGCTCACAGAGACCACATGGGTGTTGGAGAAAGAAGCAGGTGAACTGTGTGCAAGGCGAACGCCCTCCCCGCTGCCTTATTGCTCTGGCCCCTACAGGTCACTTAATAAAAGGAAGAGAGGACACATGAAAAGCTGAAAAAAATTGTTCCATAGCCGCAGTGACAAGGGAAAATGAAACCTACGTCTGTGAGCGGGTCGTCGGCATCGAGGTTGGCGGCGGGAATCTGATCTAACCGGGGCTTCTTTGACACGGAAGAGGAGGTTGTATGTTCTAGGGAAAACAGACATCATTACCTTACTGAAGCTAACGGCATATTCTCCAGAACATTTTAGGGACCAGAGGTCATACAGAGCTTAGACTAAGCATCTGGACAACAGGATCATAAACAGATCATAGCCAGTAAGACTTAAGTGAATGTTTGTGGGAAACCCATGGCTGGTGCTAACAGAGGAACAACAGCTGTTCGCAGGAAACACGTCCCAATGCAGTGACAAGAACGGGAGATAGCAGCAACAGAAGCCATGGGGCCTCCCGAGTCTGGCTGTTGGAAACAACGAAAATGCGTTGATCTGAACAAAACAATGGCTGCCACTGCCCAGAACACCCTGCTCCTTGTAAGATGGGCTGGATGGACACAGCCTATAGGCTCTAATCTCTCATTCACTGAATTATCAGAGAAGGTTGCAGCTCACCAACACTGCACACAAACAAAACCATGAAGTTTCCATTCGTACATGAAATGAAAGTTTTGACAAGGTGATTACGAGACAAATGTCAGAGCTTATGTCAATACCCCGGGTCGGACGATCTCTGTTTTTCTCCCTGGCGGCAGCTCGCTCTCTCTCCTCCAGCTCTCTCCGGAAGTCGCGGTTCCGAACCTCTTCAGGGGCATCCTGAGTGGTTTGTCTAAAATAGAAACAAACCAGGGTAAACTAGGAAGACAATTTCTACAGTGGCTACTGGAAGCATAAAAGATCTTGACCCCACCTTTATGTTTCAAGAAGTCCAAAAGAAATCATGCACTCCCTAAATGTAGGCAGATCGGAAAGCTTTTATTTTTCATTAGTATGTCAACTTAGGGCTGCTACAGCAACAGGAGTAATTATCTCCTATCAAATCATGTGGACAGTGCAATACTAAGGCTAGTTCTGCTTAGGGAGTATCTGGTAACATTTCTTAATCCATCTAGTGTTGGATGTGCTATAACACTCCAATTCTATGGAAAGAATCATTTAAGGGCTCTGTAATTCAAACACGCTCTAGTCTATCAACCAATCATGGAACAGACTGGGGTTTCTTTTGTGACACTTGCCGCCCCCAAGCCCCCCCAAAAGGCGCCTCTGTTACCTGTATTTGATCTTGGTATGAGAAGGAAGGTCTCTACTTGAATACTGCTTCGAGAGTTGGCTCAGATCCCCTTCTCCTTTTCCTCTCCCACCTCTCGCAGGCTCAAACGTTGGCCTTGCTGCTGTGGTCATCTTTCAGGCTCTGAGAAGATTGACGTCCAGTGACAAAACTCGTCTGATTAAGCATCAGTGGATACCTAACCTTCTGAACCTAAGAAGCCCAATCGAGGGATTCTGACTTCCTCCCTGGCTCTCTGCTTTGGGCGTGGGCCCTGGTTCTATTCCCACCCATCACCTGGCTGGACTGGGAGGGGTGTGTGTGTGTGTGTGTGTGTGTGTGTGTGTGGTGGCGGGGTGGTGTGTGTGTGTGTGTGTGTGTGTGTGTGTGTTAAATGACTTGGGAAATACAGAACTGTCAGAGCTTGGCAACCCCCAACCCGGCTGGACGTGAGATTGGCCCGGTAAAGCACGTGATTGCTTCTGTGAATGATGCTAAAGCACCCTGAATGGAACTGGGGGTAGAGGGACGGAGGGACGGAGGGACGGAGGGACGGAGGGACGGAGGGACGGACGGTGACACACACGAACACACACACATATGCACACGCGGCGCACACGCGCGCACGCGCACTCGGACCCCGGTCCGCGAGCCGCTTCCCGCCGGAACTCCCGGCCCGCGCTGACGTCACCGTCTCCCCCCACATCCCGACCCCGGGCCGAGTCGCCGCGTTCCCGCCCCGCGGCCCGTACCTGCCGCCGCCCCGCCTGTCCCCGCTGCCGCGCCCACGGGCTGTGCCACCGCGGCCCGCAGCTGCCCGCTGCTGCCCGCCGCTGTCTGCAACGCTACGCGCCCGCCCGCCCGCCAGGCTCACACGGCCGCCATGGCCTTGGCGGCTGCCCGGCTCCCGGCGGGATCCGCTCGCGCGGAACCCGGAAGCAAACCCCGCGGCCCGCGGCGGCGGCCAATGGGCGGCGGCGGGGCCGGAAGTGGGCGGGCAGGCAGCGGGGGGCGGGCCCGAAACGGCCGTGGGGGCGGGCGTTTGAAATCGGCGCCGGCGGGCGGACCCCGCGCCTGCCGCTGCCCGGCCCGAGCGCCGCGGCCCCTCAGGTACCGGGCCCCGCGACGTGCGCGGGGGGCGGCCAGGGGCCTGGGGGGGCGGCCCGAGCCCGGGCGCCGCGGCCCAACGGACGCTCGCGGCGCTCGGAACCGGGCCCGGGCCGGGCGCGAGCCGGGGGCGGGCGGGGGCAGCGGGCCGGGCCGGGCGCGCTCCTGCCCTGCACGGGCCGGGCCGGACACGGGCTGGACACGGCTGGACACGGGTCTGGGCACAATCCTGGGCACAATACTGCCTTACACGGGCCGGGCTGGACACGGGCCTGCACACGGGCCGGACACGGGCCTGGGCACGGGCCTGGACTCGTTCCTGCCCTGCACTGGCCGGGCTGGACACGGCCGGAAGCTGGCCTGCATACCCCCCCCACCCCCCCACACGGGCGGGCCGGGCCTGGCCACGCTCCTGCCCCTGCACGGTCTCGGGCTGGACACGGGCCTGGACACGGGCCGAGACACGGGCTGGACACGGGTTGGACATGGGTCTAGGCAAGCTCCTGCCCTGCACAGCCGGACTGGACACAGGCCTGGACTTGGCCCTACTGACCCCTCCCCCCAAGGCGGGTGGAGACAGCAGGCCGGGCCTGGCCACCCCCTGCCTCTGCATGGGCTCGGGTGCTGTTACTATCCCATCCTAGCATGCTGCCGGGCGGGAGAGGAGCGTTTCCTCGGGCCACAAACCACAAGCTTGGGGGCCTGGTCCTTCATTCCCGCCTTGGTGTCTGTCTCCTGGGCGTCCCTCTCCCACCAGCCTGCCTGCGGGTCCAGCATCTGAGGACCAGGTGCCTCTTGGCATCACTCTGCGCCCGCCCATTGCCCTGTCCCCATTGCCCTGTCCCCAGCAGGGTGCCCTATAGCCCATCTCCGCCTTCTGGGTTTTCTGCCAGTGTGGAATGGGGGGATCTCTGTGGTTCCTGCCTCAGTGTGGCTCTAGAGATCCTAGTGCGTCCGCGCGCTTGAAACTGTCTCTGTGACAGTACTGGGAGATGCCTGGCCCCTGCTGCTGCGATTAATCTTCTTTCTGTTGTTATTGTCTGTCTTCCCACATTAGAACCTAAGCTCCAGCTAGCAGGACCCTTGTCCCTCTTGCTCACTGCCGCACCCTCTGCAGGTAGACATTGCCTGGCACATGATAGGTGCTGAGTAAGTATTTGCGGAATGGATGAGTGATTGGGGCACTGTTGGTGAAGTGAGCGGTGAAGGAATGGCACGGCAGTGCCCCTGGGCCTGTGGGCTCAGACCAGCCCCAATATGAAACTCCTAGCCCAGCACACACTCCTCGAATGCCCCTGGATTTCATGAACAACAACATACCACATCACTCATCCATGAAATTCAAAGCCTTAATCATGTAAATGATCTGAGAATTACTAGTGAGAAGAAACAAACAAAAAAATACTTAAAAAAACAAAACTGGAACACTTTTGATTTACACAGCTTAAAAACATTAGAAAAAGAATTAGAAAAAACTCATCCTATTAGCTACCTTTGCTGGCAAGATTCATATGTAACCTCCCAAGAATTTTCATGTGAATCCACCACCAGAAAAGTATCTCTGGGCCTTTAATTCAGCCCCCAGGCCCCTCCCAGGTTCCCCTCTGCGGCAGTAGCTTTTTCCCACCTTCCTCTCTGTCCTGCACTGCTCTTCCCCCTCTCTTCTCAGGAGTGGGTCATCTTGATTTTCTGCAAAAATGGAAGCTCATAAACAAGAACCCTTCAGCACACCTCCCCTCACTCCCCAGAGGTGCCCTGAGCTGCAGGGATCCTCTTTACCTTTTGGGGACCCGAGTGCCAACCCTGCCACCACCAGGGCCCTTTGCTGCATCTCCTCCCCTTTCCTGCTCCCGAACATGCCTAACCTATAATGTCTGAACCTTACAAAATGTTTTCTGTCTTCATGTGACACAACTATTTTCATTCAATCTGAAAAAAACTGCTTTATATAATCCTTATGGTTATAAAACTGAGTATTCTTTTGGTAGGATGTACTGTAGAATTATTCCATTGTAGGAAGTATTGTAGAATATGTCTGGTTTCAAAGGATACACAGATACTATGTCCAGTTGAATTGACCACCCAAAGGGGGGAAAATCTAAGATTTGTAACATTCTCTGTGTATGGTGTAGGCCTGTTAAGGCCCTTTGGCCTAGACAGAACACCTCAGAGCTTTCAAAGGCTTCTAATATTGGGACTGACCAGATAGGACAGTGCGTCTGGTGCTTGCTTTGCACACTGCTGACCCAGATTCTAACCCCGTCACCCCCATATGGTGCCTGAGCACCATCAGGAGTAATTCCTGAGCACAGAGCCAGGAGTACCCCTCAGCATCATCTGGTTGGCAGGTGTTGCCCCAAAATCTACATGATTAATAAATTAAAATAAATATGCTTATAAGTTTATAGTAATAGATGCCAAAAACTAGCTTAAGAAAATGCATGCCAGAGCAGTGGGGACGACGGCCCTGAGGGCTGGAGCACATGTGCCGCATCCCCAAAATATGCCACAAAAAGCCCCCCAGGGTGGCCCCAGACATACACAGAATAATAATAAATTTCCGCTTCAGTGCGGGTACATGCTGCCACGCCTATAATGGGAAATCCACTGCTGCTAGCCGCAATAACATACGTAAGAAGCAAACTAGTACAAGCAATTCTAGGTAAAAATGGGCAAATATACCCAAGGCTATTCAGAGAAGGCCGTTCCAGATAAACCCCATGTGTGAAACTCAGGGCAGACTTGGGTAATTGGGAAGATGCAGTGAACAGTGAGCTACTGTGCTCCTGGCTATCAGGCAGGCACAGTTAAGAACAAAAACTCGGGGCCACAGAAGGTTCAGGGCAAAGGAGCTGGCCCTGCGTGTGCCAACCCGGGTTTCATCCCTGGCACCACCAGGCGTCACTCCTGAGCACAGATCAGGGGCAGGTCTAGCCTACTGCCTCAACTAAAACTGATGGATGGGGTTGGGAGAAAAGGGGGTACAGCCAGAAGGGAGCACTGCTCCCTGCTTCTTTCCCAGTGACCCATCCCCTGCTGTCCCCCTCACCAGTGCCCCTGGGGGCTACCTGCCAGCCTTCCACTGCCGTAGATGGGCAGCTGCTGCCTGTCCCAGTCAAGGTTGTCACATTAGCTCCTACTCCCCCTGCCTCTGTATCCCACACTCCTGGTCATCTCTCCCCCTGCCCCTGCATCTCACCCTCCTGGTCATCTTTCCTCCTGCTTCTGCACCTGCACTCCTGGTCAGCTCCGCTCTTGGCCTCTGCATCTCACCCTTCTGGTCAGCCTTGCTCCCCCTGCCCCCGCATCTCGCACTCCTGGTCAGCCCCTCTCCCCCTGCAGCCCACACTGCTGGTCTCCCTTGGCCTGCCTGCATTTCTCTTTTCCTGCACCCAGCCCTTCCATGGTGCCTGACTTGTTTCTGTGCCTCTCCCATGCAGAACATAAGCTTTCCAAGGGCTTGAGCCTTTGCCTAGCCAGGGACGTGGCCAGGTACCTCACGTAGCACCTGGCAGCACTCCCACATTTTGAAGTGACTGAGAGATGAATGAATGAATGAATGAGTTTTAAGAGGAAAAGAACACTTTCAAACACATTTTGATATAAAAAGTTATTTCCTTAATACTATTTACATTTTAAATAAGGAGGGAAAAGAAGTATGCCACTCTGACATTCAAATTTCCACATCAGGGCCCCGAGAAATCCCTTCTCTCCAGAAAGATTCCTCAATGAAAAAGTCTTTGATGATCAGGTACCATCAAAAATCTAGTTGACCAGTCCATTCCAGTCCCAACTCTAATCCGAGTCCAGTTCCTCTCTCCAGTTGAATCATTTTCCTAATTCTCCATTTCTCAGTAGCAGAATTGCTAGCCCACAAAATGAACATTTTCTTGAAATGCTTCTTTTAAGACCTTTAATAAGAAAATGGAGGGGGTAACTCATAGGTCACAAGTTAGAAATCATATATAAAAATCCAGCCCTAGAGAGGTCAGAAGACAGTGCAGTGGTCAGGGTATGTGCTGCTGTGGCCCTGACATGGGCTCCCCCGAGCAGCATCCTTGTGCCCCGACTGAGAACGTTGGCCTCAGCTTCTTGGGGAGCCCTGAGCCAACACCCTACAGAAAACTGATGGGCAGAGTGCTGTGCTGGCAGAATCATTGCCAAAAGGGCCCACGGGCCCTCTGAGCATTACTTAAGAGTCACCCCTCCCCCAAAGAGAAACAGAAATATTAAAGTAACATCAATGTTATCTACTTTAAATTCTGAGTCCCCAAATAATCAGTTTTCAAATATTAAAATCAGGGTCTTTAATATATCTTGACAAGAGAAAATAAGATAGTGAGGTAACAGTTGGGAGCGATAATACAGTAGGTAGGGTATTTTCTTTGCGTGTGGCCAACTGGGTGGGGTCCGGGCATATAGTCCTCTGAGCCCTGCTAGGAGTGATGCCTGAGTCCAGAGCCAAGGGTAAGCCCTGAGCACCGCCAGGTGTGACCACAAAAACGGTGAAGTAACTTGCAGTCTACTGACAAAATTCTGATGAAGACACTTGGGGTTCAGAAAGATGATCTGCAGGCAGCCTTGGTATGAAGTTGGCCCGTGAACCCAGACTGGGTGTGCATTAGCTCAGCGATTGTAATCTCATCTTCCTCATCTCGGCACTCTCCTCTACTAGCCACCTGGGCAGTGACAGGCATATTTAAAGTAGCCAAATGAAGCACTTAAATTGAAAATAACACACCAAGAAAGTTGTTGACAACACAAAACTCAATGCAGTGATATTATCACAAGGACTTTAAGTGGGGTGACACTCCAGGGCATATTAGAAAACTCACCAGGAGGCACTATAGTCATGCACATATGTGAGGCCTGTATGACATTGACTGAAAGGTCTGGAAAAATACCAACAAAGACAAAAAATAAAAGAAAAAATAGATGAATCTGAAACCCTGGTGAGAATTTCCATAGGAATGTCTTTGAGTTTAATGATCGAGCAGACAAATGAACAAGCATTGATCTTTGTGTGCATGGACATGTGTGCTTGCTGCCTTTATGTGTGCATATATAGTTTCATACCGCATCTGTATATATATTTAAACTCCTTAACCAAAACACAAGAATACACATTCTTTTCAATAAACATTGAACATTTACAAAAATTAATTATAAAGTCCCCAAAGAACTGTCAATAAATGGCCACATGTTATTTTTCTATTGACTGTATTCTTTGAAAAAAATTGGGTTTGGGTTTTGGGCTCACATTTGGAGGTGCTGAGGGTCCCTCCCGGTGGGCTCAGGGGACAGAGCCCAGGCTCCTGGGTGCCTGTATGCCATTCCTGTAGGCCATCGCCCCTTCTGTCTCTTTGGACCAATCTGCACCTATGTAAATGTTGGAAATGTTTATGTAAACGAATCCTATGTATTCTTTTGTGTTTTGCCTTTTCCTCCAGTGGAATGCTTATTATGTTTAGTCAGGGTATCAGTAGTGCTTCAAGGTACACTCTGACCTGTGATAGTAAGTGGTATTTCTTTTTCACTTGGTGTGTTAAAAGGGTCCTAGTCTGTGATTGTCTCCCTGGTCTTGATGTTCATAACATTGCCTCAGTTTGGTAATCAAGATAGGATGTAACTTAAAGTTGAGAACCACTTTTTATTAAAATTGGAAAAGGGGGTAGAAATTATATGAACTCAGTCATCATTCAAAACTTCTGAAGATCATATCTAATGATGCACTATCTCACATTGTGCCTGGTCTGGTAATAGAGAAAGAGTAAAAGCTGTGACTACCAAAGACATGATTTTTGTGTTTCTTCAGAAAATATCAACGTGAAAAACTCTAGAATCAATAAATTAGTAGAACTTTAGGAGCTATATTTGAAAGAAATATAAGATGTGTAAGAATAAAAATGAATAGAAGAAGTGATCATGCACAACACCCTTAAACCCAAAGTTTCTAAGACTGTGTCTAAGCACATAGACACTATGAGAAGACTGGCACTCACAGTCCAGAGCTGCCTGTGAGGAGTGAGGGCCAGCAGCGGGGTGCTGTGGCCACCGCAGCTTCAACCCAGAGCAACAGGATTTTCGTGGAACTTCATGTGTTTGTCTAAAAGAAATACTAAAGCTTAGCCATAATTCAGTTTCTAAAA